TGGGTAAGAGTCCCTTGAAGGTACACACCATAGACCTCTCAATAATACAGTGGAGTGGCTGGTAAATTTGTGCAAATAATAATTCTCTTTTATCTTAAGTTTTTGCTAGCTAGACTTGTGACACTACTCCTATATCCATTGTCCACTTGTACTTGAACAGTCCCCTCTGAGCTCTGTAGCTAGTTTAACTGCTCCATGTTCAATAGTACTGTGGAAGCACCACCACTGCAACAATGCTGACCTGGATCAAACACAATACATGAAGCTCTCTATGGAGACAGTAAAAGGTAGTGGGCTGGGTTTCTTTCCTTCTTACTTTCTCAGAGGTAGCCACCTTTGGAAGCAGGGCCAAGGCTCCCTCATAGCTCTTTTGGTGATGTATAAATGTTCTCGGGAAATTTTCAGTGCTTTGTGAGGCCACTGGAGTCTGGGTTATTGAGGCTTCAGGAAAATGTAGCTTCTGGGGTATGTTTCTGTTTGCATACTATCAAGGACAGAAAGCTGATCTTTCACCCATACTGTGCCACTGGGATGGAAACAACATTCCAATTTAGAGTTAGAACTGGGGTTAATGTTTGCACCAAGTATCTACCTTTCCACTGAAGTATGTTCCTATTCTGTTCTTTCCTACTCTATTTACATTCCAGGTCCTTGTGTTTCTCGACATGTGGGCATTTTGAGATCCAATTCCATACATAGTGAAACACATACAAGTATTTGTTTTTTACTTATGTTTACTACACATATGCACACCTTCACTCTAGTACACAGATCAGAGTGTGGGGTATCTTGGTCAGGACAAAACTGTACAGCTGCTATTTTGACTGGTTTTTTATTATTTTCAACATCATAAGAATAGAACCATAGTAGGCATAGTGGAGTAGGTCTTTAATCCTGGCACTTTGGGAGGTAGGGGTAGTCAGTCAGATCCCACATAGTGGGTTCCAGGCCAGCCAAGACTACATAGAGACTCAGAAGGACCCTGTTTCAAAACAAAAGTATATGACCATAAAGTAATACTGTGTTTGAATTCTTCTACCCAGGATTATGCTGTGACTAAAACACCTTTTTGAGTAAAGAATGCCATTGTGTAAGTTACATACTCATTCATTTGTAGTTATATGGGTGTTTTTTTTTTTACTTTGGATTATTAAAAATAGCAAATCAGTAAAATATTTCTCTTTTAATAGAACTCAGCATTCATCTCTCTTGAATTTTCAGTATATCCAAGGGTGGGATGGCTTCTCATATAGTGCATATATTTTTTTTATGCTGACAGTTTTCCTAAATTGATGTACAAGTAAACACCCCTAAGCTCCTGTTTTCAGAGTACAATTTTCTTTTGCTTTAGATTAGCGATGCCAGTTAGTGTGGGATGTTGAGATATTTGCTACCCATCTCAGATTATATTCATAAACACATATGTGTTTACATTTCCCACTTATTTGGTATAGATTGAAAGGCAGAAATTTGCCTTGTCATATGCCCACAGGATTACCAGTGAAAATGCCACAGAAACGAAAAAGGAACCATCCATTAATTTTCAAAAATCCAATGGTAATCACAATAAAGTTTATTAGCGATGTCTAGTTTATGATGTAGAAGCATGAATTTCAACTGCACACACATAATATTTAATTCATAGACTGAAACCTGAATGACTATTTGACTGAGGCTTGGTCCTTCAGATTCTGCCTCTCACATAATTAATTTGTAACAGTTTGAATTGCATTTCATGACTTCGATATTCTCTAATTTGTTCTTGTTTTGAAAGGAAACAGTAACTCAATATATTAAACTCTGTTTATAATCTTCAGCACTGAGCATTTTAATTCTGTCAAGCATGTGTCAGCAAAGGCTGAAAAGAGCTGTAACCACAGGGCCCCAGTGCATTAGGTTACATAATGGTTCAGCCAACTAACTTACCTGTGTGGGCTGGAGGGCAATATAACTAAGAATAATATTCCTGGTATTAGAAAAAGAACTCTCAAAGTAAGAGGTGCCTAGGATCAATCTAGAAAAGCCTGTTAGGCTAGATTTCCAAATAACTTCCCTTTTGGACAGACTTACATTATTTCATTCATATATTCCTTATCATTCATTCACACAATGGCTCAAGAAACACTGAATAGTGTGTAGCAGGCCATCCTCTTGATTCTGGGCATATAGCCCAGAACAAATCTGGTTTTGTTAATATGAACATACATTTTTAGATGGGGAAGAGGCAAGAAAACATAGACAGAGATTACAGTGAGATATAAGTAGGGATGGCAAAATCATGTGATACTCCCAGAGGAAATATGAAAAACAGGAAAGTCCTTTTCGGGGGGAGGGGGAACTTCAGACAGAACAGCCACTGGCACTTGTGTAATGGTGGGAAGGAACTGAGCAGTGTGGATGTTCACCACAGGAAGTTATTTAAGAGGGTTAGGACAGTATCTAGATGGGCTGCAGGACAAAGAGGCCTCTGGGGTTAGAAGTTTGGAGGAGAGGTCAGTAGGAAGGCAGAGACTTATCAGAGGAGCCATGGCCACTGGAATGACCTTAACCTTTTTTTTTTTTTAAGAGAATATTCAAAATCCAAGGATTCTGAATAAGAAAGCAATGAATCAATTTTTAAAAATCATTATCTTGAAAAGTGGGTAAAGTGGACTGTAGGGGAAAGGCATGGAATAGAATGAAATTAAGTTGAGACATCTAACTGGTATGGCATAGGTGTTTTACTTTGTGGGATTATTAAATTCACTGTGCTTTAGTAATTACATTAATGCCTGGACATCAGCCATGGGTAAACTCTCTGACTCCATCTTTTCCCCATTCTCAGGTACTTACTTCAGCCATTACTCAAGTTATCTATGCTGTAGTCATCTGCTCCTTCTAGATAAAATGCCATCCATTCAAATCCTACCTGTCCTTCAACTCCTCTCTCTCAACTCCTCTCTCGTACCACTGCCTTTACACTGCCGCCAATATGCGAACGATTTCTCTGAGTCCTGAAACATCATTGCGTGTTGAAGCAGCAGTAGGCTTGCTAAGGCCTTGTACCCACAGAGGCCAGATTCTCTGTGGGTGTTACTTAACCTCTGGTTTCCCCTGAAAATTGGGGTCCATAATTCCTACCACATTAAGCTGTTGTGAGGATTTAATGGGTTATGGCATCATGTAAATTGGTTTGTAACACATATTAATTCTTAGCATTATTTTTATCATCAGGATCCATATTTAGTAGAAACTTCAAATAAAACCTGTTAGAGATGAAGTGGAGAGACATATGGACTGGGTAAAAGGACACTTGGACAGCTGTGCAATGCTGAATGTCACTGAGCCCTGTATCTTACTTTCTTCAGCTGAAAAAAAATTTTTTTTACTATCAGTTCAAAGTGGCCATATTTGTATCTAAAAGTCACCCCCAACCCTACCAAAACTGAACTCTTTGTTGCTATTAGCATCTAAACTATCTATTTCTTTGAACACCTAAATGTAATCTGTTGGCTAGTCTTGCTGATGGAACCCAGATCATATCGAGTCCATCCACTTCACATCTCCCCATGACTACTGCTACAACCTTAGTCCAATACTCTTCTCTCTGCAGCAGCTTCCTAATCTACACATGCCCCCTTTCAGCTTATTTTCCACATAGCCAGACTGGTGTTTAAAGCATAAACCAAGCTTAGAGTGACGCTGTCTTCCCTGAGTCCTACTTCCTTGGAGGCTCAGATGGAGTACTGGAGCTCAGGAGTTTGAGAACAGCCTGAGCAAAAACACATTGAGACTCCATCTCAGACAATAATATACAAATAAAGCACAAACCGATTGTTCCCCTGCCTAACACTCCTCAGTGGCTTCTCTTTATAGGATCAGACAGTCAGTCCTTTGCCCCCTCAGGCCACTGTCCCCACCATGCTCCCCACCAGTGGATGCCTTGGCCTTTAGCATTGGTTGGAACACTCAGGCCCTGGAAGTCCACATGACTTGTCATTTATAACCTAACTCTAATTGCTTCTTAACTTCTATTGGTATTGCTCTACACACAATCCTACTCTTACCCGAAAAGGATTGCCACCAAAAGTCCCCTATTTTGTCATTCCCCCATTCCCATCCAGTAGAAGCTAAATGTCCTCACACTAGTCTCATTTCCTAAGCACAGTATCTGGTATAGAGTAAGTAGGTATGCTGGGATAAATGAACAAATACAAACCCGCTTTTAATGAGATACCAAGTTCTGTATTAAGTACATAAACCAAAACCTGTTCTTTAAATGTGTCTGTTTTTCCTTTCATTTAATCCCCATACTGAGTGAACATTAGCGGCAGAAATGTGACAACTTGAAAAGTCAGAAATCTTCTTCCTGCCTTCAGCCTTCAGTTTGCTAATCTCTTCCTGGGCCCTCCCGAACTCTGGCTTCGTGTAAATTGCCCTCCTCTCTGGCCTTTTCCCCGTAGGTTCTAACCGCCCTAAGTCTTATTCTCCAGACCGCAGCCAAAGAGCACAGTTCGGCTGCTCCCGTACCCTCCTGCCGTTCCTTGAGAACGCCTGGGAGTTTTCCTTGTTATCGAGAAAGACCAGAACTTGCTCTTGCCCACCACCAGGCTAACACTTCTGGTTCCCGTCTGCCACCTAGCTGGGTAGCAGGGGCTTCCCGCTTCCAGGACAGTTTTACAAAGCGCCCCAAAGTTGCCTCCTTTACATCTCAGAAGACTGTGTTCCCTTCCGTCTGGAAGCCCACCCGGCCGCGGCCGCGCTCCATCATAAAGCCCCGCACCGCCAAGGGCCCGTCTTTCTGAGCTCATACTTGCTTCACAAACATACACTCGTGGATGAATGCCGGGGCCTTTGCAACCCGTCTGTCATCCCGCGAGCCCGCGCCCACCGACTATTTGCGGAAGGAACAAACCGAGGAGCCGACCAACCAGGCTCGCCCTCCCCACCCGCCGCTGCGCCGCAGCCATGACGCGCTAAGCTGGCGCCGCGAGGACGGGCGTGTCGGGGCGCCTGCGCGACGGGGCACGCATGCGCAGAGGCGCGAGCCTGCTGACAGATTCTCGAAGGCGGCGGCGGCGGCGGCGGCCTTCGGCCGCGGGGAATGGGAGTCTCAGGGCCCTGACTGAGCACCGCCCCCGCCTCCCTGCCGAGACATGGCTCAGGAGAAGATGGAGCTGGACCTGGAGCTGCCCGCGGGCACGGGCGCGAGCCCGGCGGAGGGCGGCGGCCCGGGCGGTGGGGGCCTGCGGAGGTCTAACAGCGCCCCCCTGATCCACGGCCTCAGCGACTCCTCGCCGGTTTTCCAGGCCGAGGCGCCCAGCGCCAGGCGGAACAGCACGACGTTTCCGAGCCGCCACGGCCTGCTGCTCCCGGCCTCGCCGGTCCGCATGCACAGCAGCCGCTTGCACCAGATTAAGCAGGAGGAGGGCATGGACCTCATCAACCGGGAGACGGTCCACGAGCGCGAGGTGCAGACCGCAATGCAGATAAGCCACTCCTGGGAGGAAAGTTTCAGCCTGAGTGACAACGACGTGGAGAAATCCGCCTCCCCGAAGCGCATCGATTTCATTCCGGTGTCTCCAGCACCATCGCCCACCCGGGGAATTGGGAAGCAGTGTTTTTCACCGTCCTTGCAAAGTTTTGTGAGTAGCAACGGATTGCCTCCAAGCCCTATTCCCAGCCCAACCACCCGGTTTACCACCCGGAGAAGCCAGAGTCCCATCAACTGCATCAGACCAAGTGTTCTTGGACCATTGAAAAGAAAATGTGAAATGGAAACTGATTATCAGCCAAAGAGATTTTTCCAGGGCATCACCAACATGCTGTCTTCTGACGTTGCACAGCTGTCAGACCCCGGTGTGTGTGTGTCCTCCGATACCCTGGATGGAAACAGCAGCAGTGCCGGATCTTCCTGTAACTCACCGGCGAAAGTCAGCACTACCACCGACTCTCCTGTGTCGCCGGCCCAAGCAGCCTCCCCCTTTATTCCAGTAGATGAACTTTCGTCTAAGTGATTCAACAGTTTTGAACCCCTTCTCCCCCCAGTGGAGAGACAGAATCAAGTTAGAGCAAGCACTGAACTTTGTCGATTAAGTTGAGGCTGTTTCCTATTTGACTCTTCCCCCTTTTTTTGGAAGTTCCTGAAATGTTATTCTAGAGAATTACTATGTCAGGTTCCTGCAGATGCCCTTGAATTCAGTGTAGTAATATTTTCGGACTTTTTATCAATAAGTGTGTTGAAGCATACATTTTACGCTGCTAATATGTCTAAATACATATGTTATCCCTTGATTTTTTAAATAATTGAGAGCTCTATTTATTTATGGGATTATTAAGTTCTGATGAAAATATAAATGTTGAATTTCAGTTTAGTAAACTGATGTTTTAAAATTCCATAATTCATGGCACACTAATTTTTAATGTTTTCAATGATTGCTGTTTTCCATCTGTTGAAGAACTTACCTACTTACAGTTTTAATGAAAAATGGTAGTCATATCAGTCCATTGGTCGTCTAACTTACCCAGGAGTCCTTGGATATTTAATGTCCTAGACACAAGACAGGAGGGGAAATAACAAAAGGAGAAATCATAACATTTTGCAGCAAATATTTTAAAATTAATTATTTAAAAGTAAAGAAGGCCATTTTCTAACAATTTTAATAATAACTAGTAAGTCACACCAACATAACTACAAAAATGAAAAGTTTCTTTTTGAAAACATTTTTAACCAGAAAGTGCATTCTCTTGGGTATAATCCTAAATGTTTAATGGAACAGTGCCTTGTAGTCTTAGCTCACTGTGGACAGGCAAAGGCAAGGCTCTTGCTACCACTTCAGAGTTAACATTTGTGAAATGTAAACATGTGGGAAGCCCTATTGAGTGTTGGGAAAACACCCAGACAGATGATACTCTCTCAGTCATTGATAGGCTTTAAACTACCCAGTCATGTCTCAATTCTTAAAATCCTTGCCAATGAAGCCAGGCAGCATTTGCCTCTTCTCTGCCATCTGTCACTTTTTCCCTTGCTCAGGAAGGAAACAGCTATTTCCTTGCCAACAAGTACTTCCCACCTCTCACCAAGTTAGAACATAGTTAGACCAAGGCACCTCTGATTTGGATTTCTGATAGTGTGATACACATCTCTGGTTGGAACTACTTTAACAGGATTAGAAATGTTACTTAAAGGCCCATGGTGTACAGACCAGTGGAGTCACAACTGTAAATCATCACATAGGTTTTCTTAAAGGTGGAATTATAGGGTGCTTTTCTTTTGCAATTAAGATAAAAAGTAAATGACTTTTATATTCTACTTTATGATACTTCATATTTTCTAGATAGATAAGGCAGACAGACAGATGGAATGAATAACAGACCAAAAGGAAAAGGTTAAAAAAAAAATATTGATACTTTTAAGAAAGACCATGACAAAAATTCCTACTTACTTTTTAAAGTCATTGCGTACAGATTTTAAGAATTATATGGAATTTTTACAACTATGAGAATAAATGGAACTGGTCACCTCTTGACAGTTACATCAAGTTTCAGTGAAATAACATCAAGGGTAAGACCGTGTCTGTATGTTTAACATTTTCTGGATAATAGTGTATTTGTATTTACAGCCTAATTGTTGTTCCTCAGCTTAAACTTATATATTCACGTTTCCTGTTGGGTATGTTGACCTGCTTTCAGAGGAACTTTAATAACCTCAAAACAAAATTTACTGCCATATTTAATGTGTTCTCACAGGTTGATGTCATTGATGCCTCATTTCCTAAACTAGAAGCCATGACACATCTGACTTCTCTTCCTGTTAAATACAGTGTGACCCCCAAGTTCTGTCAGTTTCTTCTTACCTGTATCTCTAATTATACTCCAGCTCCCCTTGTCACCTGCCTTCCTGTGTCTCACCTCCCTTTTATCTTGGTACTCACACGGGCTCCTGAATAATCCTACAAACTTGATTTTTTTTCACTTTCATACCCCAAAACTGAATCTTTATAGAACTTACAGTTAAGGTAGTTCTGTAACAACCTAAACTGTCGTTTGTATAGTTTCTGGCTATAGTGATCTGGCTATAAAGGACTAAAGTAACTTCAGTCCTCTCATCTCATCTTCATACTCACTTCCCTCCACAGATACTAGACTGCTTGATAATCCGTAAATAGACTATATTCTTATGTTATAAGTCAGAAAGCAGTTTGTGTGAGCTGATTCTCTTTTCCCAGTGTTGTTTCCACTTGGCAGTAGGAGCCTAAATTTATGCACTGAGCCATCTTGAGCCAGCCCTCCCCCAACTTTTTAATTCCACATGAACTTTAACTGAAAACAGTATGTATATAGTTTATACAATACTTAAGGAATGTATACATGGATATAGTTTAAAAATCTGCCATTTACTATGTAAACTTCATTATCTCTTCCTACAGGTAACATCTGCCAACAGTTTGGTGTGCACTCTGCAAGATGCTCCCCATTTCCCTGCAGATATGTGTGTGTAGATGCAGGGTGTGTCGGCAGCTCTCTTCATTTCTTTTACCCCATGTTTAATCACTCACCAAGTCTTACTGATATTATCTCCTGGTTTCAATCTCTGCTGCAGCAAGAGCCAGGCTATTGTACCCTTCCTGGATTCCTCTCCCAGTGGTACTTGGCATACTCACTCCCATCCGCTCTCTGCCCAGAGCTGCCTTCTTAGAATGGCCTGTTACACATAAAAATAAGTATCAGTCTGGCTGAGGGGGCTCTGAAGGATTTGGCCCTCACCTCTTCCCTTGTTTGTTTGTTTGTTCTGCCCTCACTATAGGTAGCTTTCCACTTCTAAAACAAATTATATTTATTTATATGTATATGGGTGTTTGCCTGCATGTATATTTGTGTGCCATGCGTGTGCCTGGTGCCCATGGAAACAGAAGAGGGCCTCAGATCCAATCTTCTATAACTGGTGGTATAGACAGTTGTGAGCTTTCATGTGAGTGCTGGGAATTGAACTCAGAACCTCTGGAAAAACAGCTGGTGCTCTTAACCTTCAAGCTATCTCTCCAGAACCCACTTTTTTTTAAATGCCTGGCATTCACTCTTATCTACATCCTTTTGCTGGGTCATTTCCTACAGTGTATGAAAGCCTTTCTTTTCCTAAGCTGCTGCTTTTCTATGGGTGGTAAATCTTAAGTAAGCTAAGGCTCTAAGAATTTGTATGGGTAATTTACATCACCATAGCAACTTCAACCATTCCTCAGCTCACATGGACATCTGCTTCCAAAAACACATTTTTAAGATATTAATGTTGTCAATTCATAAACTTTGACCTAAAGAAATTAAAAACATTTAGTTAAAGGTCCATTTTGTCATATCTAATAAACTTATGCAGTATATTTTCTTTTATTGTGGCTGTTTTAAAAACATATATATATATTGAATGAAAGAAATCACAATGGTTACCAAACCCAAGGCTGCTGGATGCTGGGACCTTTAAGGATACTTAAAAGTGGTCCAGAAGGACCTGGGTCAGGTTGCCTTCCCGCTATTCACATTGATTAGCTCATCCCACTGCATAACCTACCTCAAGAGACCATTTAAGATAGTTGGCAGGAAAACAAGTAGTCTGAACTTAGTGAAAGACCGGGGCTGTTTTTTGTTTGTTTGTTTTTCCCTTCATTTTCTGGATTGGTAGAAGACTAGAGAGAGGAAATTGCTATACAATGAGGCAGGATAGGCAGGTAATGGAACCGACATTCCTCAATGGGTATCAGAAAATGAAAGAGTTACCCTTGGAAAGCAGAACTAGACACGTCAGTTTCTTCTATAACAGAACAAAAAGGTCGACAAAGACACTTGTAGCTGTTAGTTTGCTTTTGCAGTGATTTAGGGGTAAGGAGGAAGATGATACATATATATGATCAGTAGTAAGTGCATCTTCATCATTCAGTCTTCTAGTTAATGAGGAACATAGAATATTTGAGGGTAGGGTCAGGAGTGAATTAAATGATTAATGGCCTAAGAATGTGTAAAGGAGAGGCTTAAGAGTGAATAGAAGGCTAGCCAGGCCACATTGAATACCATTTGAATCCACACAAAGAAGTGAGTTGAATTGACTAGGTTTGGGAGTTAGCTACGTAGGTACTAGTTATAGTGTGACACGGTCATTCCTTGGAAAGTGTAAGAGGCATTGGAGATGGCCAGAGAAGTGGAAGGTGATGCCCCACCTATTCATGATCTAGCCTTGTAACCTGTTACACCAATGTATATGAGAACCTGGTCTGATTGTGGCACTTTTGACTATATTTTTTTCACAGTTTTATTTATTAGCTAAAGGAGCAGCCCAAGAGGCTGACTTCACCTCAGTTCAACTTACTTAATAGACATTTATATCACACTGCTCCTAAAAGCCTAGACAGTTTGTTTGCGGACATCTAGGTAAATTTTTCAGAAAAGTTGAGGTAATCTTTATATAAAACGTGATGAAGTGCTTCATGTGTACCCAACATTTTTAGGGTCTGGCTAGTTTTCAATGTAATCATCTTACCATTTACCCGAGCTGAATGTGATCTTGGCCCATGTTTTTTAAAATGAGGAAATGGGTAGAATGGTGGGGACATTTGCCTGGGTGTCCCAAGCTGGAAGCTTCCTGGTGGCAGGTTGGGGGGAAGGGGAGACCACAGGGAGCGGGGCTCCGTGGATTCAAGGCCCTAACAACAGTGCTGAACAATGAAGGTACCTTGAAATGGCAGCTGTCATTATTGTGTGCTTCTGAGCAGCTATTTCCCTCTGTAACTTCCATTGGATTCAGGTCCACCTCGCTGGAAATGCGGAACAAGTCTTACACCTCCTTTTTAGCCATCATCCTTGCTTTATGAATCTAGAATACTGACCCTTCTCTCATGGCTGCTGCTTGCTCTGGATTTTAGAAACCATGACTACTTTCTTCCATGAATTAAGGCTGTCAGTGCCCTGGCAGCCAAAAAGTTTTCAGATGACAATTCTCTCAAGACCCTTTGCCTTCCCAAGTCGGGGAAGTCAGAATCATGTACTAACATAAAATTTTTGTTGACAAATAATAAGAATGACTATCAATATTATATGTAACTTACAGCTGGAAGATCTCATTGCAGCATTCAGTATGGGCTCAGGCACTATTTTCATTACACACACATACACAGTTTGTTTAATCCTTGTGATAACCCTCTGAAGCAGATACTGTGAATTGACCCCGACTAACAGATGAGAAAATCAAGTTCATTTTTAAATTCCATTTTTAATTTTTTTCCTTTTGAATTTAGTTCCTTTGGGGGGGTTACTTTATCTTA